CTGTATATACATGTACTACAGTAAGCATATACTTATATAACTCATAAAAATGGTTCTGTATATACATGTACTACAGCAAGCATATAGTTATATAACTCATAAAATGGTTCTGTATATACATGTACTACAGTAAGCATATAGTTATATAACTCATAAAATGGTTCTGTTTATTAATGTACTACAGTAAGTATATATTTATATACCTCATAAAGATGGTTCTGTTCATACATGTACTACAGTAAGTATATATTTACATAACTCATAAAGATGGTTCTGTATATACATGTACTACAGTAAGCATATATTTATATACCTCATAAAGATGGTTCTGTTCATACATGTACTACAGTAAGTATATATTTACATAACTCATAAAGATGGTTCTGTATATACATGTACTACAGTAAACATATATTTATATACCTCATAAAGATGGTTCTGTCCATACATGTACTACAGTAATATGTATTTATAAAATGTACAAATACTAGTCCATACTTTTGTCCTTGTGTAACAAAAAAAAAACATTTCTACAAGGGTGGACGACCATTGTTAGTTTACAGAAGACGACACGTTATTAGAAACATACAGTTCTAGTGTAATCAAAAGGGAACTTTACGACATTACGACAGGCTATAGATCAGTCTCTGGAGATTAAGGCTTATCTGTAGAATTATATCTCTGCTTTAGTGAGGTACCTGGAGTCTTTCCGCCCTCCTTGGGGCCAGGTAGACTCGACGCTTCAACAATTACTAGAGTATAATAACGTTCTACAGTCTAGCAACCCTATAACAGTATTACTCGGGAAGCTTTCACTGTTAACAATTCCTCTCGCAGGTCTAGTGGCGCCGACAGGTGGATGATGGCGCCGATAAATGGAGTATTATCATCAAGAGAGAATGGCCAAGTGAGTGAACACCACATTTCTTAGGCCCCACCTTCCCGAATAACTGCGGGAGGTGTGTGGAAACAGTGCAGAGACTTGTTAACAGGACCAGTTTTGTTTTGTTTGTTCTGTCTCGGAGACTGTATCAATATCTAGAAAAAAGGTAGCTTTAGACAAGGTCTCCTAATATCTTATGGAGCGAAGTGTTAATACCTAGTTGTGTTATATACATATATATATATATATATATAAATAAGTCACGAGTGGAATATGAAGAGCACTGTTGGAATTATTCATGAGAGGTTAGCTTAAGAATGTGAACATAATTTGTCAAAAGGGGCGGTTAGTAAAA